GATGTTTTGTTTTGGATGATGATGGCGTAGAGTTTAAAGTTGATTCTGCTCGTGAAGCCTTTCGCAGTTGGTCAATTTCTTTCGATGGTAGGATTTCCATTTGTGATAATTGACATGAACAGTAGGAAAAATCAGCATAAACGAGTTCTAGTTTGGAATTATTTTTGCGTTCATTAATTAATTGAGTATAGAAAGCATTCCAATTTGATGAATTTAGCTTTTCTAATTTCTCATCAAAACAATAAATGAATTTCTTTTCGTTGTCATGCACAATCTGTGTCTTAATTCTTTTCAAATTGTTATCATCTTTCGTGAGACCTTCTTTCACATTGAGATATTCGATGTCTTGTTTCGTCAAATTGTCGATTAACTGTGCTTTTTCTCTAAATGTATTAAAGAGTTTAATAACATCACTGATTGCCTTTAACAATGTTTCATCTTCTGTATCGATCAATGGTTTAGACAGTGGATCTTGTTTAATGTCTCCGTTGCGAATTTGTAAAATTAAATTTTTCTTTTGTTCTGCTCTTACGTGATAGAGTTCGGCAACAGTAGAGTTTCGTTGTCGAAATTCCTCATATGATTGCATAAGATATTTTTCAAGCAATTGTTTTTCTTCAATATTGAGTGATATGTTCCATTTTCTTCTAAGTAACGATAACTGATGCAAGTATGGTTCTATTTGATCCATGTATTGTTGATTGAGTGGAACAAATCTTGCCTTTTCTATCGGGTATGATGGACAAAAGTGTCTAATTGGTTGAAGAGTGTATTCTATTGGATGATGTTGTGAAAAATCTGATTTTATATCAGTTAGTTTTTGACAAACATCAGCTAATTTTTTTAATCTAGCAATATCAGGTATATTGGAAAAAACTTTTGTATGAGTAAACCGATTGTATAAATTCTGTTCAGTTGTTAATATGTCAAAAGTGTTTTCAGCCAGCTGTTCTTTTATTTTCTCAAGTAGTTGATCAAGATCAGATTGGTCATTAGGTGATAATTGTAGTACAATCATAACATGAATTCCGTATTTAATTGTAGTGACAACGTGAGTTATATTAGTGTTAGCTATTAGTTTTTCAATATTTTTCGATTTAACAATAGTATGCTTATTATTCAACTGATTTTGTTTTGTCGGATAGTAATAAGAAACGAATCTAGTATATTTATTGATTGTAAATGGATGTTTAATTGACGAAGATATTCCATCGGAATCTACTATTTTTAAGTATATGCTCAAGCATAATTCTTTATCAATACCAATTACATCGGATAACTTTTTGCCTTTTAGTTTACCAATATTTATTTCTGGATACGTCTCTGGCTTTTCTAATGTAGTCACAGCAGAACCAATATTCAATACTGAAGCTTTCAGTAAGAGATCCTGCCTTGCATCGTAAAGAGATCCAATAGCATCAGATTGATCGATAGCTATACGATGTATTTCATCGTATGTGAATGAATTTACTTCGTTATCAGAAGAGCCTTCAGAGGTTTTTATGCTTGATTGAGATGGCTGCCGTCGTGATGATCTTGATAATCTTGATCCCATTTGAACTACCGAATCAGTCAATGAAAAGTCTATTTAAACGATACTTGACGATATAATAAACCTAAGATTCTACAGATAAATTGCACAATTAAATAGAAAACAGACTCAAAAAAATGTATTTATTTCTTTTCTATTTTTCTTCGATAAGTCATTTTAACTGCTTTGATCAATGGTGATATCAAGAGAAGAAAAACAACTTTCTATTTTCAACTATTCCCATTCAAAATGAGATAGAATAGTTTGTTTTTCGTATACAGATGATAACTTGTTATATGTCATTTTCTGAATTCATATAAAATATTCTTCTACATTAATATATAGGCTTTTCAGTTTGACTGAAAAAAAACTAATGAAATAAATGATTACTAACAACTTTCAGAATGCATAAATTGCAATTTCGAATTACTAATAAACACAAAAATATAAAAAATATATGAAGATAAAATAATACTTCTACACATGAAATTAATTGTTTTTCTGAGGTTTTCGCTAACAGTATCTTTGCCTTTTATTCTTAGCCTAAATCAATTACATACATAAATAATATAAAGATGGATATAATATAACATGATGTTTACTTAATTTGTGTACTCAAACCCCAACACAATAGCTATTAATGGGCTTACATCTTTAAGTATTTTGACAGGGATTTTTTTTTTTCTTAATGAAAAAGAAAACTATTTATTATATAACGATAGATACTGATACTGTCGATTTCATCGAAAACATACTTTCCATACTAAAATAAAAATAATCTATTTTTTATCATATGTACTTAGTCGAATTGAATGAATATCACAATGAATTGTTTCTTTTTTATGCAGATTTGGTTACAAAATGTGAACATATTTTTTAGAAGATTATAACTTTCTCGTGTGATTCAAATCGGACAAAAACCTTCGACAGTGACTAAAAGCCGTCGCTATACTAGTGGTATTAAGAATCTATGTATAACACGGGTTGACATTTACGACAAGAAAACAAATATCATCAAGCACATAATTTCAACTCTTTTCTGTCAAAGTAATTCTCAATTGTCTATTTTACTTATGAGTTGAGATATTCATATTGTTTTGAAAAGGACCGTGTTTAGTTTTGTTTTGCTAATTTCTATTTAAATCTATCTTACTACAGTGGTGCAAGTCTTTCATAAGAACAATGTAATTATATTTCAAACAAGTTTGCTCTTTTCGAATTATTACTTGTGCTATGCCTTTTCTAAATTCAATTATTTACTGGCTGTCTTCTGTTCTCTAACAGAAGCATATTCTATTACATTTTAAGAAATTCATCTATTTTCATATGACGAAATTAAACTTAGAAAAAATCAATTCTGAATTTTACAGTTAACTTTCATTTATAATAGTAATGTATATAAATCTCACCTCTTTCGTCTGTTTTACTTACCTCTACAATCATATAAATATGCAGAGACCTTTTTTTTATCGCTGCATAAAGTTGTTTTCTTACAGATAAACTGTGACAGAAAGAAATAAAAATGTTGGAAGACAACTTTTATACCTTTGCAAGAGTTAACATGTGTGCAGAAATACAGATATGAGAACGAGATAAATGTTTGTAAAAAAAAAAAAAAAAAGAAAAAAAAAAGCAGGTGAGTTGGGAAGAAGAAATAAAAACTAAGACATTATGTAAACTTGTTCGAGTTTACAATTATGTTTGATTTATACAATACACTCACATTTTTTTCAGTTTGAGTCTAATAAAATGTTGACGAAATTGATTTTTAATTCGATCAAGCTTTACTAATAATATCTGTCTCGTACACATACAAACACGAAGCAAGGCCGATTCTCTGACTGAAAACGATCATAACATGATAAAGCCAACCACCAGCTCTGATCATAAAAAATCTTGTTTTCAAAGTCCAAACAATTTCTAACTAAAAACGATATTTTTCCGGCATATTCCCGTTAGAATCGTTGACCTAGGTATCAGTATTTTGATCATAATATTTTAATTATTCTGTTTCTTTTCAAGACGAAACTATATTTTCGTCAATATTTTTAGCATTGAATATTTCAGATACTTATTTTATCAGCTTTGAATTTTAACGCTGTCTACTTTACATCATAAAGTCTTATACCATGTACGAGAAGTACTAAAATGATTTTAAAATTTTCATCGTTCTCGGGAACAATAAGAATAAATATTTTGAAATGTTGCTGGATTATTGTACCAATTTAGTATTCGAGAGTTCTAATAATCGAAATTAACAGTTTTTACCTATGATTAAGAAATGGTAACAACATTATAATATGTTATATTTTTTTATCCATTTCTATATAAGAAGTAACATACATCGGATTATTTCTGTTCTTGTATTTGATGATTATTTTGACCTATGAATAATTTTAATCGTGCTAATATTTTATCTATGATTCGCTGACACAAAAGCAACACAAAATTTGTATGCATTTTTATTAAGTCTTTTTCCAGTTGTTCGCTTTGTTTTTCATTTCATAAAATCAGCTAATTTCTTAACTAACTACAATTATTTACTGCTACAATTCGAACAAATTTCGCGCATCTGTCAGTAATCATTATATTTCTTTCGACTAATGGTATAACCAAGGGTGACTTAAGCTTGGCGCCACCCTATTACACGAAAGAAAAGTGTAATAATTACCATCATTGAGACTATATTGCATGAATTTTTTTATAAAAGCGTATGGTACTGTCCTATAACACACGATCTCCTAGCTATGCCACTACTTTCAAGAATAATAGTAACCATAAAAATATACTTTAGAAGAACAGAACATATTCTGTCGATAAATACTTTATTAAAGAGCCGTCAGAATAAAAAATCCGTCTCATTATATTTGGACTGTAGAAAATTTTTTTCGGCAAATGAGTAGATTGCACATCTAGAAGTATTTTGTAGTCGAATGTTGAAATCTCATAAAATATTCTAAAGTAGTGAAGTACCTAAGAGTTTCTGTTACATATCGGTTAACAGAGTATCCTTGTGAGTACCCAGAGTTTAGTACATTCACTAGAACATGTAGTAGTTACTTGATACAATAATTGACTAAAGTGTCAAAACTTTTACTGTTTTTGAATATAGGGACAATAAGCTTCAAAAAGCATTTCAGTACTTCTTGAAGACAGTTATTTATTCTAGGACGACTTATTATCTTGATTTCCTTTCTCCTTTGATGAACTTCTTTCAAAATGTTCTAGGCTTTAACTTAAGAGTAAAATTGTGTTGATCATTAAAAGTAAACTGTCAAAAAATGGATCTGTCAGTAAATTTGACTCTCATTATGTGTACAGTTTTTCTAAAGAGTTTCCTATAGAAAGTCAACATCTTAATAGCAGAGACATCAGAAAAATAAAATCGATTGTTAATATGTTGATCAAATTTATTTACGTCTAAAATACTTTAAAAATGCACAAGTGTGTATTAAATAATAATCAATTCCTATGAGACTTCTTTTTCTTGTTCATTCATATATGTTCGATGATATTGTTTGATAACATCTATTTGTTTTTCAATCAGATCAATTCTACTTATTTGCTGAATTAATTTATAGATCTTTGTCAGATTGATTGAATTTTTATTTAATGTTGATACATCTTCTATTTGTTCATAGTTTTCTTTAAATTCATTGAGTTTTTTATGTAATATCAAATTAAGACTATTGTTGCCATTTAATTCACAAATTTGATTTTCTTCTTCAATCATTTGATTTAAATAAGATATAATTGCATCATTAGATTTCAATGATTGAGTTGTAGCAATAAAAAAATATCTAAATTCTAAGATTGCCTGTTGGAGTTGATTCAATATTGATTTCATTTCATCAATAAATTGTCGATTTACATTATTTGAAACTTCATAATCAAGTCTATAATTAACGTCAATATGTCTATTTCGACTACATTTGCAATTCAAACATTTAACTGAAAATATATGTAAATCATCAGGATAAATCCAAAATTCATTATAATCTTTAGGAACACGTTTGCATTTAATACAAATGGTCGAAGAATGAGATACAACAAATGGATAAAGTCTTATGAATAGTTTCGATGACTTTTCTTCATACAATATAAGATTACGAAGAATATTTCGAATTGTTTCTAATATTGGACGAATCATTTGATTGATTTGAAATTGTGCATGATTGATTGATTTCCATTCAATATATGGATAAGCTTTTAATGCACCACAAATATAACTAAGAAGACGATTCGATTCAGTTACTGAATTTCCCCAACTTTCTTTATATTCTTCTTTTTGATAATCATCAAAATCAATTTTATTTTGAATAGCAATTAAATATCGAAATGATTCATTATCGAAACAAAATGTATTTGATTTATTAAATGGAATATGTTTAATAGGAAGATTAGCAAGCGTTGCTTTAAGTAAAGGAGCTGTATTACCTGGATTATAAAATGTTGCTCGAGTATTGGTAAAACAAAATATAATATTATTACTAATATTTTCACCTAAAAAATCTATCAACTGACTAAAATACGAACGAAAAACAATGTTTAATCGTGATTCATTTGGTTTAAGAAGTATACAAATAGCATTTAAATGTGATAGATTAGTAATAAATGATATTATATGTTCCATATTGAGATAATCTTGATCAAGTCCACGAGTATCTCCTGTTCCAGGTGTATCAATTAATCTTAGTTTCGTTCGAGTACCAACAGTAAAAACATATGATCTACAATGTTGAGTTACTGATTGACCTGGATGATGAAAATCTTCATTAGAATCTTCATTACCAAATCTAACAATTCGTTCTTCAAAATTATCTCCAACTGTTAGAAGAAATGAAACAGGGATAAGTACAATAGGTTGACCAGACTGAGCTTGTTCAAGTTTGTCAAATTTAAGATAATTGACAAGGGCATTGATAAACGTTGATTTACCAACACCAGATTCTCCAAGAAGAAGAACATTGATAAAATTATATTCGAAATGATTTGATTCATCAGATATATTGATTGGTATTCTGATTTGGTTAGGTACTCTAGGTGTCGACAACAGTGAAGAAACAGGCTGATCATTTTTTTCAACATTGCAAAATGTCACTGTTTCTGGTTTTGGTAATTTTATTGAACGTTTATTTTGGTGTGGAAGTGTCTCTTGACAAGGATCAATGGGTTTTGGAAGAGCTTTTTCTTCGTTTTGAATTCCAACTACTGCTGATTTGCAACAACCCATTCGTGATAGTAAATCAGTTAGTAAGTGACTTTTTTTCGACTAAGCCTAAAAATAAAATCAACACATGATTCTAAGATGATGAATTTTTTGTTACCATTAGTTATGCATTTTTTGGAATATTAAAATGATTGTTAACAAAGATCTTGATCTTTAACTAAAACATAACAAGATTTCTGTATTTTTGTTAATCAAATTATATATAAGAATGCAAGAGAATAATTTATTCTGTCCGAAAATTTTAGGATTTCACTAAAACAAATGTTGTCAACAGTTAGAAATTTGAGCAAATTTTTTTGTATTTTCTGTCATGGCTGTTTGTCGAGTTACCGATAAAAATTTAAAATATGTCAAATGCATCAAGTCTCAGTAGCTTCAATATTTATTTGAATTATCTTTTGATTTTACTCGTCATATTATTAGAAAAATATTGTGCGATGGTTGAAAGAACCTATTTTTTTTCGATATGCTGACATAAAAAAATATAAAAATGAATTCGTATTCACAAATTTTCATGATCAAAATTTATCTTAGAAGAAAGACGATTTTTTTTGACTTCTTTGCTATTTATCGAAAAAATTGATTTTCTCAATAATCACACAATATTTTTCAAAAAATATATGCATAGTTTTCTCCTAATCACATGACAAGTAAAACCAAAAGATAATTCGAATAAATATTAAGGTTACTGAGACTTGATACATTTCATGTACTTCAATTTTCATAGACTTTAATGATATGTCTAAAACCAACATTTACATAGGTAATTTGACAGCGAAATTTAGAAAGCTATTAAAATGAAACCTTGAACTTTAAAAATTCATATTTCCATATTCGTGATTAATGTTTTCGAATCAGAAGATGGATATCAAGGAAATAAAAAGACGTTTTTATAATGACAATATAATTCTATTTTATAGAATATTTTCTATTCCTCTTGCACTGCTATATTGTCAATCAAATGCGTTAGAATGTCTCACGAAAATAGAGAATGTTAGCTTGTAGACTTTGTTGATATTATTGACTCAAAACCTATGTAACAAAATTTTATTATTTTTTTCATTACGTCTTTTTCTTACCTTGACAATCATAAACACTATGAAATGTTTTTATTTGTCTTTCTTTCTTCATACTGTTGCACACATATGAAAGGAAGAAAAAATAAAAACAAGAAAAATTTTTAACACAAATCTGCAAGCATACTCTTACAAAAATCAGTACACTAGTAGGATCTTATAGAAGAAAGAAATGAATGTTTTTACGAAAATAAAATCATACAATTCAAAGGAAGAAACAGATCGATAAATTCAATTCAATTTTTTTCGACGATATTCATGATTGATTTATACCATAAATAGATTTGATATTCTAACAAATCTTATAAAACAAAATTTCTTTCAAGTTCACGTAAACAAACTCGATGTCGATGGTAAAATCAACGATTAAATAATTTCAAAAGATTTTTTAAATAGATAGTCTATTTTAAAATACATTGCCGAATCAACTATTTTCTTCTATTAGCATTTTTTTAAGCTTAAATTCAGTTTTAAGATGGATCTTTCAATCTGCAGTTCATGTAAAATTAATAAAACTATACTTTATTCTATGCGAATATATGTTGTGCGTCTTATCTAAGATTTTTATTCCTTTTCTTTATTTATTAACGAAACTGAATTCGGAAAAATGCTTTTCTAGAAAAACTCAATTTAGGATAGCCATTTCTATACATGAACATTTTCTCTTTTTTTGTGAGTATTTTCTCATTTAATTATAAAGGATTTCATACCACATTAGTATTTTGTTCATGAAGAATAATGTGAGTACTATATTTTGTTAATAAAGAACACAATGTTCTTTAATATTGTATAACTAATATTCATTTCGACTGAAATCTATATATATAATATTCAGTGTCTGTTTCTCTGTGCCAGATCCAAGGTCGAATACGGCTATAAGGTGAAGTTCCAAGAGCTACTTATGGGGGACTCATAAGTCCTCAAGGATCGTTCTATAGGGGTACCCATAGGTCGTCAAGAGCTATCCTATGACGGTACTCATAGGTCCTGAGGAGCTATCCTATCGGGGTACCCATAGGCCCTCAAAGGCCGTATTATGGAGGTATCCATAGGTCCTCAAGGGCTATCCTATGGAGGTACCCATAGACCTTGAAGGGAGTAAGACAATAAGGATATAAGGCTATAAGGGCGAACGCTACATGGACTATAAAGATATGTGCGATATAAGAGTATGAGGCCGTAGCTATCTATCTGTATACATAATATCGAGTGTGTATATTTCTGTTACCGGATGAAAAGTTAAATGTTTGAGGTCATATGTTAAAGGAGAAAACAACCGTGCAGTATGCACGGGCTCACGCTAGTTTCACTATATTGCTTGAGTCTTAAACTCAGATTAAAGAGTGAGGTGTTTAATCATCTAGAAAAGTTATTTAATGTTATCATCTTCTTTCAAATTGATCTCAACAGCTTCATCTTCTGTTTTTTTGTCAACTTATACATAATCCTTTACCTTATTAATATAATGTATTTTTCTGATCATCTCATCTGATGCTCGTCATAGTGAATGAAACATTCAGTTTGTAAATCAATCTCTGTTTTTTCGGATAAGAACAATTGATTGGCAAATGATAGTTACTATGTATAAACAACCTTTGAAACATCTCTTTATCTCAAGGGGGAACAAACTGATTTCCTGTTTTCTAGTGATTTCTACTGATTTCCAGTGCTTTCTACTGATTTCTCATGATTTCTGATAGCAATCAGATTTTCAATTTTGTTTATGTCATTCATGGCGAGGGAGAACAAACTGCTTTCTATGCTAGAAATCACTAGAAATCACTTTAAAACCTTAAGAATTCGAATAGTGACTGAAGATTGTTAAAAATTATTGGAAACCCTCAGATGCCATTAGAAACCACGAGAAATCACTAAAAATCAACAAAAATTACTTTTAATTATAGAAAATCTTCACTAAAACAATTAAAAATAGAGTCTTGATTGTTAATGATTTTCCTTCATTTCTAAGCATTTCCAATGATTTCTATTGATTCACGATGAACATTAAAGAACTGATTTCCAGTGATAGAAATCACTAGAAATCAAAGAAAATCAAGAAATCAGCTCGTTCCCCCTTGATTCAAGGGGAAACGAACTGATTTCTTTTTTTATTTCATTTCTAATGATTTCTCGTGATGTCTGGTGATTACTAGTGGTTTCTATCACTGGAAATCAATTTTCGACTGTTCACCGCGAATCAAAATAAATCAAGAGCTACGACTACGATTCAAGCAGGCAAACATTTTCAAAAACGCGTTCAAACGCATAAAAAAGGGCTTAAAATCCATAAAAAGTGGACGTGTTTGGCTCACAATTGCGGTTCCCGACTGTCAGCGAAAAACGACCACTTTTTGCCCCTTTTGTGCGTTTAAACGTGTTTTCAGCAAAAACACGCTTGTAAACTCGTAGAAACGCATAAAAAGTAGTTCTCTTTTTCCTTTTCGTGAGCTGTGATTGTAATTATGATTGTGTTTTATGAGTATGAAAAAGATGACAACTTTTTATGATCGTCTTATGCGTCTACACGCGTTTATCACCGTTTTTTTTGCTGAAAACGCGTTTAAACGAACAAAAAAGGGCAAAAAGTGGTCGTTTTTCGCTGACAATCGGGAACCGCGATTGTGAGCCAAACACGTCCACTTTTTATGGATTTTAAGCCCTTTTTTATGCGTTTAAACGCGTTTTTGAAAATGTTTGTCTGCTTGGGGAATGCTGGCAATTATTGAAAATCAAGCGAATCAAGAAAAATCATTAGAAACCAGGGCTTTACTATTAATCTTATTACTGGATATTTTCTGCAATTTAGTGGTGTCCATTGATTCCTCATGTTTTCTATTGACCCCTAATGATTTTTAGCCATTTACAGTTATCATTTGTATACCCAGGTCAAGTATTTACAATGAAATAAAAACGACTGTAAACGATATCGTATATCATCGTTTTTCACAGTTTTCGGTCGTAAATAGCCGTAATTTATCGTTTGGTGTGCGCTGTATTATGACCGTACCGTTTACGATTGATAACGGTCACCACAACCCAGGTCAAACAATTTTATAAAATCTTCCAAAAATCTTATACATCTTATGAAATCTTAGAATAAGATCATAAAGTCTGTCTCATCTTACAAAAACCATACAAGAATCTTACGAAATTTGATAAAATCTTACTATGAGATCTTACATTAAGAATCAGCCTTTATGTTTCTTACAGAATCTTACGATTTCTTATAAGAATCGTACTAAAATCCGACGAAATCGTACAAGGATCTTACAGTAAGATTCTTTGATCTGGGCCGCATCGGAAAAATGAGTATACGACTGTATGCGGCCGTTTACAATGCATCTAATTACGGCCGTAATACAGTGCATACCAAATACGCCGTGTTCCATCGGAAACTGTCGTTTACGGTCGTTGAGTTTCAATCTAGGTACTTACCGCGTTAAAATGATTTCTAGTGATTTTTGGTGATTTTTAATGATTTCTACCACAGAAATCAGTTTGTTTCCTCTTGCTTAGTGTCAGTATTAATAAGATTAGTACAGCCTTGATGGAAGATAATCTCCGCCACAGTTGCATGCATTTTACACGGACGATCTTTTCACAGCCAATCAAACATGAATCAATAATATCGTCATTATGCGTTTAGAAAATTGTTATGAAAAAGTCTGGAGGAACTAACTGATTTCTATTCTGGAAATCATTAGAAATCACTGGCAATCACCAGAAGTCACTAGAAATCCTTTTAAAGCCTTGAGGATACAAATAATGACTGGCAGCGGTTAAAAATTATCGGAAACCATCTGAAATGATTAGAAACCATGAAAGATCATTAGAAATCAATGGAAATCACTAAATCCTAGAAAATCTTCACTAATAAGATTAATAGTAAAGCCGTGGTTTCTATTGATTTCTAATGATTTTTATTGATTTTCATTAATTGTCTATAGTCTTAGTGATCACTGTTGATTTCTAACGATTTTTCGTGATTTTTTTCATTTATTAGTGTTTTCGATGACTCCTATTGATTCATAGAGATCAGATAAAAGCTGATTTCCAGCGATAGAAATCCAAGGGAAAAGTACGGAATCCTGGAATTTCAAAGAATCTTTGGTAATCCTATGAAACCTTGGAGTCCTCAGTCTAAAAGCCCTTGAATGTATTGCTATCGCGAAAAACCTGTTAAAATACATCGGCAATTAAAAGAACATTCTAGCAATATTTTTCACAGCTTTCTCGTTCAAATCCTCTTGTTTTCAAATCTTGAAGTTGCGCATTGATCTCTCTCAATATATATATTAGATTAAGGCCAGTAAACATACAACAGAAAAGAATATAGTTCATAAAGATCAAAACGAAAACAAGAAAGGCTTGAATATAAAAATTAAAAAGAAACGTTTCAATAGTAGAAAGAGGATTGACGATAAGGTTACTCCGACTTGGCAATAATATCATGTATACAAAAACAGTAAAAGTAAAAAATGTTGAACGTAATTTTTAAATAAAGTTTGTCATTTGAAAATACTCTTTTCTGGAATACGTATCAAAGATAACTGTCAGTCCTGATGTAGCAAATTCATACTTTAAAGTGAAAATTTATAAAGCCACGAAGTACTCATACAAACAGTCAATGGCGATGCTATTGGCTGAGAAAAATGATAGTCTATCAATTAATATGTTATCAAGAGTTTTGTAAGCAAGTAAAATTGAATAAAAAATGATTCGAACATTGTTATGTGTTGAAATACTAATTAGATGATCATTAGATATTTGATAAGATAGATCGATCTGAATTTATTGATAGATAAATGAAAATCAGGAAGTCGGCTTGATCGCAACGCTTCTAGTGGAACTAATGCGATCCTATGAACAACGCCTCAGCAAGCACAAAAACCGAGTCATCAATATATACATTTATCAAGGACCACAACCGAATGGAATTAGGAGTGCCCCATTAGAATTAGCATTACCATAATAAAATCATAACGCTTTTCCTTTTGCATCAGTATAAAATAATGCTAATGCTCTTGCTTTTGCATTAGTATTCATCATTAAGCCTTATGCGTTAGCATTAATGGCATTAAAATTAATTAATGCCTACGTGTTGCATTAAGTAAGCATTATTTTTAATTCTGATGCATGTACTCAATGTAAGTGCTGGGACGCTAAGTAAACATGCTACCTAAACCTTTTTAGGGGCTACTTGGAAATGCTACCTACCGCATTTCACACGCCATTTTGGTATGCATCATGTACCATGTCAAGTGCTTCCTCTAGCATTCCAGGTGATGCATTTTGGATCCCAGATTATGTTCTTAGCATCCCAGGTGATGCTTCTAGCGTCCCTGTTATTGTTTGCAGCATCTGTAATGCTACATCTAGCATGTTCGGGTAGAATTCTAGGCAATCCTAAGGAATACTAGACAATTCTTGGAATTCGAAAAATTCATAGAGAATCCGTGGAATTCAGGATTCCGCGCTTTCTCCCTTGTATAGACCACTAGAAACAACCAGAAATAAAATTAATCATTAGAAATCAAGAAATCAGTTTGCTTCCAGTTGTATATAGTATAAACTGAGTTCTGATGATTTCTAGTGATGGAAATCAGTTTGTTTCCCCTTGCTTTATCCTATATATATAGATTGATCATTGGTTGAAAAAAAAGTGATTTATTTTTTGTTTTAAAGTAACAGAACATTTGTTTTATTAAAATTTTGTAAATTTTATTACGAGTCATATATCAACTATTCTTTTTGAAATGAATATCTAAGATTTATTACAATGAAATAGAGTATAAGAAAAAAAAACACCTAAATAAATCTGACTTTGATTATAGGCGAAAAACACGTGCAGCATTTTGACCAAGAAAAAGAGCACGAGTCGTTTCATCAAGACCCAAATCATTAAGACCATCAAGAGCTTTAGTAGGAGTAATCATTGGAAAATTAGTACCAAATAACACTTTATTACGACCATGAGTTTGCATATATTCAATTAAAGTACGAGGATAACGTTGAATAGTATAAGCTGAAGTATCAATATAAACATTGAGATGTTTCGTAGCAACAGCAATAGCTTCTTCTGTCCATGGATATCCAATATGACCTGCAACAATAGTTAAATCAGGAAAATCAAGTGCTACTTGATCAAGATAAATTGGACGACCAACTTCCGATGGCATTAAAGGACCAGTATGACCAATTTGTGTACAAAATGGAATATTTAATTCACAACATGCTACATATACTGGATAAAAACGTCGATCTGTTGGAGGTACTTGAAATAACCATGGAAGTACACGAATTGCTTTAAAACCAAATTTTTCAACACATCGACGAATTTCACGCATAACTAACATAGGTCGAGTGATATCAACTGAACCAACACCAATTAATCGTCCATTTGATTGAGATACAAAATCATATACTTCTTCATTTGATATCATTACATTATTAGGAGCATACCAAGCACTAATTAACATACGATCAACACCAGCAGCATCAAGAACAGCTACTGTTGAAGCTACACTTGGTGCTTCACTATAAGTTAATGCTTTTGTCCAACGACGTAAACTATCAAATATAGGATCTTGAATATGACGTAATGTTGGATGTTGACCCCAAGCATCAATAATCATCTGTTGTTTGGAGTCAGTTTTTCTTTTAATACTGTTCCATCGTTGAGTTTGAATATTTAAAGTATGTAATATGGGAAATGAACATAAGGAAGATTGTATCACTTGATATCTAAGCAATGATGTTCGTATCATTTTTTCTATAGCTTTATTTTTAAATTATATTTTATAAAATATGACTTAATCAGTAATGTTTATCATACGAATTTTCATTGTATTGAATTAAACGTATAAATAACATTCGATCTATGTTTGAAAAGATGTCGCTTGAAGACTAGGTCATACAATAGATTTATCTTGGATAAAAAATTGTTGTTAATATTGATTTTTAATTGTTGAATATGATCGTATAATTCGTTCGTGTAATTCTGGGGTACAATTGTAGAAGAACGACACTACAGCACCTACACTCTTTTAATGTGCCCTGTCAATTACATCAATTAGTGTGGAGAGTGTCGTTCTTCTGAAGTTGTACCTTTATAAGTTAATTTTTCGTGTCAGAAAAGGATAATCTTGTTCAATGCTCAAGCTATTAAGAATTTCTGAAAACGTACTTAAACACTCTAATTGTAAATTTTATGTTCATTCAAACAACATCGAAACTATTTACTTTCATCATGAAATATGCATGAACACGCTTAAAAAAGGGGAAGTTTTGCAGAAAAAGAAAACTTCTTTTATCTATGATATACGTCAAACAGTATTGTAAAAAAACTTTTTTACACGCTTTATTATTAAAGTAGCTAGTTTTGGTTTTTTTTTTTCAATAGATATGAAAAATCTCAAACGGAAAGCATAAATTAGAGATTTTAAACTCGTTTTCAGTAATTCTTGTCTGCATGAATGTTTTAACTGATCGATTTATGAAAACCTAGAGTCATTTTATTTCTTATATTATACGAAATTAATATTTGTAATTTGAAATAAAAAAAAATAAATGAATTTAATAGAATAATCAATTAAAATTGATGAATATTGTTTTGCCATAAACAAAAATCTTGTGCTCTTATTTCCTTAATTAGTATGATTTTCATATTTATTACCCATTTCATCTTCAAGATTTTCATCTCAATAAAAATATATAGCTTAGAATATATGACCGTTACATTTTTCTATAGAATTTCTTGCTTAATGTTGATATTGATGATGTCTACTAGTAAATTACAGCAATTTTAAAGATTGGAAGGTATTGTTAAGAAACAAAAAAAAACAAATCATTATAGATTTATTCTTACTTAATTTTTCGCTTAGAATTCTATATATTCAAGATATTATTTCTTTATGAGAGGTTTTTATCATAGGAGAACATTAAACAAAAATCAATGTAATAATCATTTTAAATAATGATAACAATTTTAGTTTCATAGAAACATATTTGTACCTTTTGTGATCATTGTATTATCGACTTTCTTTTTATTGATTATATTGCTATAAAAGGTAAATTTAATACATATGGAATTATTTTTAGTTGTTTTTTTTGAGCTATAAAGGACAAAAGACGACGATACGAAAATCATGCATTAATATTATAATCCAATAGTCTCATTCTTTTTTTTATTATTATTTTAAATATAACTAATCATGCATATCATTGATACATAAAACAGAAAAGAAGAAAAAAAAAGTTACACATATATATATAGCAGTGCGCATTTATAAACAGTCTGTTTTAGTCATGCGTAACTAGTGTAATATATCTATAATAATATTGCTGGTTAGAATAAAAAAAAATACTAATATAAACTAGTCAAATAGCAAAAATAGAACGTGTACAAGAGAAGAAATCAGGTAAATAATGATTTGTTGTAAATACAAAAACAAAATTAAGAATTATTTTACTCGTAGAAAATTAGAGAAAAACAAAATTAGACATAAAACATGCAGCAAAGTTATTTGTGTTTTTTATTTGAAAGACTTTTGATTAGTGTATATCTTTACTTTATCATAGACTAACTCTCTACATCTTAGAACTTGGAATAATTTTAATTTCTCATCTGTTATTTCATTTTATATATATAAATCAAATTTACTTTCTTTATCAATTACCTAAATTCTCAAGTCGATAAACACTTTGGACTGAAAACTATGTCTTAAAGATATTGACAGTAATGCAAATTGTTCTTGTAGCTGTACGCGCATCTCGATATCAGATTTTGCTGATAAAACTCATTACAGAATCAGTACAAATGATTTTTCTTTAAACCATGGTAAAGCCTTATTGATTTTTGACGAATGTAAATTTTCTATATTTCCTTCTCACATCTATCACAAACTACTTTTTGCCAATTCGTCGAAAAAATATTATCCAAATTTACACTTTTTTTTAGAGACGACCACAGTTTCAAAAATTAAGAAAAAATATAGTTATAAAAAACACAGTATGGTGTCTGGCAAGTCATTAATAACTTTTTTGAAGAGTATCTATGTTATTTGATTTTATTAAAATATTGAAGTGAGTTTGATTGTATCAAAATTTTAAATTGAACAAAAACTTTAGTGAAATGAAGAAACTATATCGTCTTTTTGACATTGATTAACTATATTGTTGTATTGTAGAATCATCAAGTATCATGAAGTTCAATGAAAATACAAAATGGGTACAAGATGCTACGACGGTTGCTGGAGGCAAACGATGGGGTACTGATTTAGGTTCTCTCAATTTTCCATCTGGTATATGTGTAGATGATGATGAAACTGTTTATATAGCTGATTACTCAAATAATCGTGTTGTAGAATGGAAAAAAGATGCAACGAGTGGAAAAGTTATTGCTGGTGATGGTGATCAAAGAAATCGAGCTGATCGATTACGTCATCCAAAAGATGTGATTTTTGACAAAACTACCGATAGTTTTATAATTGCCGATGAAGGAAACAGACGAGTAGTGCGATGTCCACGTCAAATTGATGCAAGTATGGAAACAATAATTTCAAACATTGATCCTTCCGATCTAGCAATGGATAGTGATGGAAATCTCTATGTTTGTGACTTTGAGAAGCATGAAGTAAAACGATGGAAAATAGGTGATACTGTTGGAACGGTTGTAGCAGGTGGCAATGGAAAAGGTGTTCATCTTCATCAGCTCAGTCATCCTACCTGTATTTTCGTTGACAACGAACAATCAGTATATGTTTCAGATTGGGGCGCTCATCGGATTGTAAAATGGACGAAAGATGCAAAAAAGGGTATTCTTATTGCGGGTGGTGATGGTTTTAGTAGAGATCCGATGGCTTTGGCAGATCCTTTTGGAGTATTTGTTGATGATTTAGGCACTGTCTATGCTGCAGACTGGAAAAAACATCGTATAGTGCGTTGGCTTAAAGGAGATACACAAGGTAGTGTCGTTGTTGGTGAAGGTAACGATGGTAATGCATCAAATCAATTCTGTCATCCTATGGATATAGCATTTGATAAATATGGCAATCTCTATGTTAGCGATTATAGTAACCATCGAGTACAAAAATTCACTATACATTCAAACAACATTGAATAATATGTTAAACACGAACATTGATAAACTTTTATCTTCCATTTGAACCCTTTTTTTTTGTTAAAAAATAAAAAAAGAAGAATAGAATAAAGTCATGGAAATATTGCATCATTCCAAACATTCTCTATTGGCCAAATATTGGCTAGTTTTGCATCACAATTTACTGGTTGAGTTCGTTTGATAAAAATATATTGAACGACTTTCAAGGTCATCCTTATCCTTTATTTGTAACCTTGATCATTTTAAAGAATAACATTTTGTAAATCACTTAAGCCTACTTGAATAATTATGAATGAGAAAATTTGTAGGCATTCATTTATTCATTCGAAAACAGTCATTTTTGGTTTGGTGATCCAATAGAGAATCACCGTTTTTCTTAATAACATTTCATTTTTTTTTAATTCGATTTCTTTTTCTTTTTTTTGAGCAGTACTTTTTGAATAACACTTTAATGAAGTATAAACAATACTTAAATACTTTTGAAAATATTTTGATTTTTTTGTTTTATTCTGGTAATGCATATATATCTTAAACAATAATATGCAAAGATCTGAATTTCTAGCATAGAATAGATCAATTAAAATTAATTTTACACTCTTCATCTATCACAGGTCAAATACATTTTCTTATGATGATAAATATTCAGTATGATGATGATTTGTTAATTTCTGTACTGTTTATCATATCGACTACATTAATATTAACTCTTTTTAAACTCTCAATATTGGACCTCTTGATATTTTGTATTCTTGTGTTTTAAGTTTTGTAGTGACATTTTTAATGAATACATTTATTTTTAATAAAACAGATATGGTGTTGGTATAGACAGATTCTCATTTATAGTAACAGCTGAAGATCTCAAACTTTGTAGTTACTCAATACTAAGTAGATTCACTAAACTACCAAAATTTTAAAGAGTTTACTTTTGTTGAATGAGAAAATGACACATGTTAAATTGCTTCAAAACTTCCGGGACACTTGCTGTAAGTAAAATTGGCGTACCGTTAAAAGAAACCTTTATTTTGAAGAGAAAATTTGAAAACAAATATTTTATTTTGTGGAAGATATTCAAAATTCGAAATCGAGTTCGATATTCTTGTACGTATATAATGGCAATTTATTAACTTGAAAATCGAACTTTGAGCTTCCAATTTTCTTGACTATCGTATTCTCAACAATATAAACATTCTTTGTCGAATTTGAATAGAATTCGTTAGAATATCCTTTTCTATATCTTATTTTCTATTTTTCAGTTTAGCAATACATAGATGCTTCCACATCAACGACAAGTTTCTATTAGCCATCTGTTCGTGAAATCTTTCTGAGTAGTGTTTTCTCGAAAAAATATTTGATGAATAGAAAGTACAAGAGAAAAACATCATGCTTATAATTATTAGAGAGCAAGGAACTACTCAATGAAATATAAAGACTTTTGTGTTGTGATCTGTCGCGACACCATTTCCAGTCAGAATTCATTTGAGATTTCTGTAAGAGAACATTCGAACTGATAAAAACCAATAGTCAAACACTTTCCAAGGTTATCAGTCATAAATGAGCGTATGTGCAATTTATAAAGTATATAACTTTGCTTTACAACTTTGTTTCAGTTATCTTACTCTTCAGTGTTGCAATACCTACCCAAAAATAATGGCACCATCGTATGATTATTTTTTTTGCAATTACGGACACTTTCCGCTGCGATCTATTTAGCATTAAGAAATATATAACAGATGGCGAGCGCTTCTCCACACCAACGGCAGTCTTGTCGTCGCACACAATGGGATAGTAGAAAACTTTGATGTCAGTTATTATTATAAGCAGTCTCTTTCAGAATATTTTGCTGTGTTTTTCTTTACACTAGTAACTTCGCTTGCCCTTTCAATTCAGTATATGAGCAGAAATCTTAGAAGCCGTATACACATGAGTTTCATTATTTATTCAGATTTCGACAATCATAGCTGACCACATACCGATGAAAAAAAGCGGAATATCAATAAGTTCAGACTTCTGAGATTTTAGTCGTTTCAATCTTGCATTTTTTCGATTTAGTATAATGAAAAATCATTCATCGTACCTGATCAATGTATTGTGTAGAAGATAAAAATCTTAATAAACACGTGAAAAACATTCTCTAAGAAACTTATCTAATTATCATTTCAAAACTCGCTAGATTTGTGATTTTCTCTACATTCGATAACATAGTAAAGAACAGTCACTAGCATCTCACAAATTCAACATCACTGCAAAATACAACATTATCAAGTGGTGATCGATGGAAACAATATCAGCTTTCGTCGCGTACGTCTTTTATCTTGTTTACTATTTCAAGTTTCTTGTTTTGGTTTTGTGCAGAAGTGGAACAACGAAATGGAAACGACTGATTATTGTTGGTGCCATTACTGGTTCACTTCTCATTACTACAGCAATTGTCTTACCTATACTCTTCACTCGAGGCAAAGGATCAATCTCGAATACAACTGTAGTCTTCTTCGGTATGTATTTGTGCATGTATCTAGATGGTTATCGAATTGCAAGGATATCGAAACGATTGTGTATGATGAAGGCACTTCTCTCTCTTACGTGTTTTCTCTTTTACTAAATTATTCGATGGCTATGACAACAGACGAAGGTAGTATCGAAACGATACTGGATGCAATAGAGTCAACAACGTTTAGAATTCCATAACAGAAAATTTTGAATCCTAAAAAGTTTCAGTGGAACATTTTCTTGAGTTTCGTCTAGTTTCAGATATACTCGACGATGTTATAGTTCATGGAAAGTTGTTAGTTCAAAGATTTTTAGCTTTCAATCAAGCTCTAGTCCAGATAATGGCATATGCTTTAGAAAGCTTCGTAACTTGATCTTTTTGGAAGATTACATATAGATTTTTTCCATATCTTTTCTGATTTATATGCACGTTGAGTCAGAAAATAATATCATCCGTATATATTGTGTATGTTAGAGATGATAACAACAACACGACGAACAACATCAATTACATCTACGACGACTGTCAGCACGACACGAATCACGACGACAACCACAGGTCAGTAGAAAGAGTTGATGTAGAGAAGAAATAAGGTCCCAGTGCATTATTCTTTCTCAATATGGCTAATTCAACACATTTCAGGTAGGCCTACGGTGAATTAGAGCAATAGTATTACCACTACTCGAATATCAACAATAATCAGCAGCACTACGACAATGAATATCATGCTGAAAGACATGTAGCATCGTCAACAAATTGAGTTGTGATGCAAGGATCGATGGAATCTAAAATTTTCACTCAATAGCAGAAACATTTTTGGTGCACTGATTTGCGTTGAGACAATGCAAAAAAAAAAGTTATTTTTGAGAAAAATATCATCGTTGGGCTGTTGAACAACATCACTGAAAAATAATTTCATATGTAGTACATTAGTTTGAAGAAGAGGTTCGTATTCATACTCTTGCTGCTCTATGGAGATTCACAATAGCATAAGAACTCTTTTGAAAAGCTAGTTTACATCTAAAATAGGCGAATTTTCTTTCTAATATATGTTAACTCCAACGTATGTGATTTTCACTAATGTTTAGGTAGTATTTGCCAAAATCTGACATTCCACCAAGTGTACTCATATGGCATAGGAAATGTCACCTTCTGGGTTGCTCTCGGCGACTTGAATGGCGACAATCGTATGGATCTTGTTGTTTCAAGTTACGCAGAGGAGCTTCTGTATATTTTTCTTGGTTACGGTGATGGCAGATTTCAATCGCCAACAACTCTCATAACTCGCATACATTCGTATGGAATCACTATCAATGACATCAATGGAGACAACCATGCAGATATAGCTGTCACTCTCTCTAGCGATCGCAGTGTTGGCATCTCACTCGGTCTTGGAGATGGTACTTTCTTTGCACAAAATTCGATTGCAGTTGGTAGAGGTCCATGTACGATTTCCATCGAAGATTTTAATGGTGACCAACTCCTTGACGTATTGGCCGTCAACTATGGTGCCAACACTGTAAGCGTTCTCCGCGGTTATGGCAATGGAACCTTTGCGTCTCAAAAAACTTTTGCTACATCCATAAACCCAACCGCAGTCGTTGTAGCTGACTTCAATCACGATAATTATTTAGATTTTGCCGTCACCAACTATGGCAGTGAGAGTGTTAGTGTTTATCTAGGTTTTGGCAATGGTAATTTCAGCACGGAAACTTCTTATGATACCATGCCAAAGCCGTGGGCAATAGCTGTAGATGATCTAAACGGTGACCACCATATGGATCTAGTTGCATCAAATTGTGAGAACGGTGGGATTAGTGTCTTACTCGGCAACGGTGATGGCACTTTCCGAGTAGCAGTGTATTACAGGACTGGAACTTGTGCCTATGCAATCGCGATGGGTGACTTGAATGGTGATACGTACTTGGATGTCGTTTTTGTCTCAACCTTTTCGAATTACTTTAGTATATTTCTTGGTAACGGAACAGGTTCTTTCTTCGAATGGTGGAGTTTTCTCACAGATTACAATCCGACGTCGTTAGCTCTTCATGATTTCAACAGTGATGGTCAACTTGATGTCGTGATCACTCATTTAACGGGTGCTGTGTCAGTATTTCTCAACACATGCTAATATCTTAAAACTTTTCCTGAACTAAACTCATAGAGAAAAAACTTCATTCAATGCAGTTTCATCTAACTATGCTTTACTTGCTTGCTCATCTGTTTTTTTTTCTCGAAATAAATGCTTGATGATGAAGATCCGAATAGTTACTTTGGTAGATAGCATATGATGAATCCTACACATATAAGAAGACAATCCTAGGATAGAACAGCTTCTCGTAAAACAAGAGTTTATTCCGGAAAACAATACGAGACTCATGATAGAAAACCTAAGTATTGTCTTGTGAAAAAGCTTTTGTAAAAATTCTTGTAATTGTTTTTCATTGAGTTTTTGCTAATTGGTTTCTATTTGAGAATGAATGTTACGAAAAAATAAAAGAGACAGTAATAGTTT